ATATGTTGCAAGGAGGGACCAGTCCTTGAAAAGGGATATCATGCTTGGGAGAGTGGAGGGACAGCACAGGAGAGGAAGACCCTAGATGAAATGGATTGATTCAGTGATTGGGGTGGTGGGAGTAGGTGTGTCAGAGACAGTGAGATTGGCACAGGATAGAGCAGGGCTTAGGGCCAATGTACATGGGTCACAATGAGTCGCTGGTGACTAGGAAGCACATACCAACATCATTTACTCCATGGCTTTATATTTAATTCACTTTCCATCATCCATTTATTTTGTCTTGACATGCATACAATTTCCACCCCCGCCAAATCCTTTACTTAGTAAAACAAGATATAGTCAGACGTATTCATATTTATCAAAATGGAATTAAATGACACAGGGTACTTAGGGCCTGCTTTCAATCTAGCTTCTTGCTCTTCTACCCTGCTTCCATCCTTAAAAGCCCAAGAGGGATAGCGTTATTGTTATGAGCTTATGTAGAAATGGATTGTTTTGAAATCTTAAACTGCTCTTATGGTATCTGGCTGTAGATTATTTAATCTCTGTGTGGTCAGGGGTCACTGTCCTCCTTTATAAAACTGTGGTAGTATCTGCCCTGCAAGACTGATTACAGAAGTACTTTATTGAGAGCCTTAAACCTAAGCAGTATTCAAAACCAGTGGATTCTAATATTAAAAATTAATTAAAAAATAAATTACCTTGGATGAGGAAAAGATGGAAATTATCAACAACTTCATTTTACTTGGATCCACAATCAACATCCTTGCTCCTAACTGTCAGATGTATTGCACTGGCAAGTATGCTGTCAGGGCCCTTTCACAATTACTGAGGAGCAATAGTGTAAGTTTGAAGACTAGGATGTGCCTGATTCTGACCATGGTCTTTTCAGTCACTTGCCATGCTGCTCAGAGCAGGGCAATGTTACCTTTGTAGCTTATCTTAAATTCAGTACTTACACAAAATTGATTTGCTTAAAAATACTTGCACAGTACCTGGCACAAATAAAGTGGTTTACAACAGTTTAAAATCACAATTACTATGGTTTATCAAGTGCTTTTAAGAGTGACTAATGCAGCACGAGAATCAGCATTTTGGCATTACAATCTCAACAATAACGGAATGACAAAAGAATGTACCTCAACCTCAATCCCTAAAATAACAGCTTACTTCAGCATGGCCTAATGATGTAGGTATTTATTGAAAGATTGTCCAAGAAGGTCTTTCCAAGATATCATAAAAGGTAAAATAAGATATAGTCTAAGAAACAGTAAGATATTATGCCAGCCTTCAAAGAATTTAAAAATGAGAAACAATGTCAAGAGAACTGTGTATAGAATGACAATGCTATTGAGTCAATGGAGATTTATGAATAATCATGGGGATTTAGTAATAGGCATGGTTTTAGTAAATGAGGAAAATCTTCTTATCTGAAAGATGCTATTAAATGTCATTGAAAAGTAGGTACAAGAATTTCAACAGACTCAGACTGTAGAAACTAAAGCAATGGGAAAATAGGAGATGGAATGAACAATATAGAGGCAGGAAGTACCCAATGTATTCTTTAATTATAATTTTATTTTGGTAGAGAAAATAATTTATCTTGAAAATTTGTATAAATGTGGCTAGAGAGATAAATTGAGACAAAATTACAGATGAATTTGAATAGAAATATTTGTTAATCTTTTAATAAAACAAAAAGCCAAAACAAATACCTAAAAAAAAAAAGGATACCTTTGAGTTGTGGTGGTGAAGAATACTCAATATTCCATGAATTCCATGACTGCCAAAAAAAACCCCACAGATGTGTCTTAGAGAAGGTGCAGTCAGAGTTCTCCCAGGCAAAGTTGATGAAGCTTCATCTCAAACACTTTGGACATGATGCCAGACGAGGCCATTCCCTGTTGAGGGCCATCATGCTTGGAAAGGTGGAGGGACACAAAAGAGACGAAGACCTTCAACCAGATGGTTGACAGAGTGACTGTAGCAATGTCAAGTGGGCCAGAGATGATGATGGCACAGGGCGGAGGTCTGTTGTTCACAGAGCCCATGTCCTACTTGACTTGACCACACCGTAGCAAGTCCCTGAGGTGCCATTCACTGGGCAGGGGACCTCTGCAGTGAAGTAACCTGTGAGCTTGTTTTCAATAGAGCTGATCTGCCGTTAGTCAGCACAGGTACTGGAAAGGTAAATGTCTATAACACATCTAAAGCACCTGGCACATGAAGACCTCCATTCTTTTATGCTTCCACTTACCCAGCACCTGTGCCCGCTACAATGCAGCCACTTCCCAAGCTCCAGCTCCAGGAATCCTAGTTTTCCAATCATAATTAACCTTAACCCCCTCAACGCTCTGTGCATTTATAAAACATCTGCCAGTATGCTGGCTAGTCCTCCGCCCCACTGTCAGGTTCCAAGCATCCTGAAACCAGTTTTGACTCTGCAGTGTATGCTGGTCATCACGTAATGCTCTGAATGACTTTAGAAACATGGTCTGCTGTCCACGTCATCTGCTAGCATGCCTAAAATGCCAATGTCCACACATTCCAGCCTGTTTCTTTCAACTTCCAGTTTTCCTACATTCAAACTTTGTACAGTCCATGTTCCAATTATTAAAGGGTGCTTGCAGCTGCTTCTCCTCATTTTCTCTTCCAATCTGGACTGTAAGACTACATTCCTCTACTGTTCACAGTGTTTTTCAAAGGCTTGCTATTTCAGAAGTGGATGCAATCCTGCAATGTGGGAGGGGAGCTTTACTAAGATCTGTCTATGATGGGTGACCCTTCCGGCACCTGACACATCAGACACAAATCACCCCACTAAAGCAAACTGACAATCAAGTGCTACCTTAAGACAATACAAAAAAGTGGCACCTAAAACCATCCTCAACATGGTTAAGAAGACATCCAGGAACTTCCACTCACCAGGCAAGTCCCCCATCTTCCATAACTAGCTACTCAACCTTCCTTAAGCATTCCTGCTTAGCTGCACCTTTAAGGTGTCAGAAACTTGGGGAAAATGACACAAACACAAAGATCTCTGCAGAGTGAGGCTGAGCTAGCCTAAGTTCAAAGGTAGGGTGTTGTAAAAAGGGGTTCCTGACCTTTGGGGAGTGCGTGAGGAGCCTGCAGACTGTTCTAGATGTCCTGTCTTTGTGCGCCTTGGCTACTGAGCCCACTCACAGCTGATGCTGCAGTGGGTTTTCAGGGGCAGGAATTAACACCGGAGGAGACTTCCCACCCTTCTTGCCTGGTGCACAGCAGTGCAACTTCTTCCCACTAGGCCAGAGCTCCACATTTCTGAGTAACCATCATCTGGTGGACAGGATCAAGCACCGAGACTTGCAATTCTGGGGGCCGGGCTCAGAGTATCTCACAGTGCAGGGTGGGGGGGGC